TGGGTTTCCTGGACCCCACTGTAGAGAAAACAAGAACAGACCCATCCCCCCCCCCCTTTCCAACCATCAAACAAGCACGTCTTAAAACTGACTAACTAGGGATGTTTCCTTTAAAGTCAGACTGTATCTGCCTAAGAGGTGAGGAACCAACAGTCTGCATACAATCAAAATCTGTAAAATAGATGTGCATGCCAAACTCAACTTCTAGAATAAGCACAAAGTCCAAGAGACATCTACATTATAATGACATGATGCCGGAAAATGCTACAATGTAGATACACTCTGTACACTCAGAATGATTCAATAACACTTTATTCTTTATGTACTTTGGATCACGGATTAACTCTTATCCCGCCAGTTTTCAGATCAGTGAGGATAACTGCCTGAAACACAAAGAATTAAAGATACAATTAGACTTAACATATAAACTGTGAGGGACAGCAGAAGTTAAAATAATAACCATGACAGAGATACAATTTTCACCCGAAAGTTGAGTTCATCACAACACGCACGATATCTTCAGCAGCCAACGCAGAGTTCTAGTACAAATGGTGCCAGTCGCAGTCAGATTAAATGTCCCTCATGCCTTTCCTCTGAGTGTCGTATATCGGCCTCATTCCCTCGTCAATCCAAGCTGCATCACTCTAACCAGACTGTGATCACCAATTTCTGTTCCGAATTGTACACATGGTCCCTTAAGACCATAACCATTTTTGCCTTATCAATATCCCACCCAGTTTTGCAGAGCACCAGCCAATCTGTCCTCTGTTAATTTCCAAACATACCGACAATCCTCAGAGAAAAGATCCAGACAATGACAATGCTCTTCACCCATGACCTCCGAAGCATACCTATCCTTACCTTCCTCAGCATGCTATCTGAGTCAGTTATAATCATGATGTGTGTGTGTATCATGTCTAGCCAGTGGAAAGCTGCAGTGACCATCTCCCACCTCCGATTTTAAGCTGGATATCGTGGTATCATATGTAAGGCTCACCTGCACCAAACATCGACTCAGCTTTTGCTAAGAATCCCCAGGCAATTCTGTTGCCTCCTGACACTGAATGATCTATGTAAATAATTGCACCACCTGAGCGAGCATTATCCTGAACTCATAGCTGAATTTCCACCTCCATGGCAGTTTTGGCCACTCTCTGCACTGCCGGCTTGATGCAATTATGACTCTACACAAGTCTGACTGTTCCGCTGGCACTGACCCACTCCTGTACCCATGTAATGTTCTCCAGGATATAATCTTGTCTGATCATGTCCTACGCCAGAGCCATCCATAACTTCCCTCTTATCAGCCGCAGATCATCAACTGCATCCAGCACTTCATGCAAAAAGTGATCTATGTCTGCAGCTACTCTGACGAATGACTTCACCTGTAGCATCTTGAGCCCACCTGCAACAGTCGGCAAACCAAGGATGTATCACATACACACTACTTGGGTGTCTCTGGTACAGCAGACATAAATTCAAAAAGGTGATATATGTACCAGATACACAAAACAGGTCGCAGAAACCCTGTTCAACTCATAGGTTGGGTTTTATTAGGCCCTGGCAACAGACACAGTGGGGCTTTAAAACAACAAAAAATTGCATTGGACACTGGGAAATAGGGTTCTAAAAATATAAAAGTACGTGGCCTCAATTATTTATAAGTGACCCTTGTTAGAGAAAACTTGCAAACTATGCCACCAATTTACCATCATGCATACAGCAGTTTAAAATAAAAGAGTGCTGGAACGAAAGCAGCATATTGCCTAGCATGGAGGTGAATGCCAAAAGCAGGAAATCTCTGGAGAAGACAGCATAAATTAAAAGTAACTACAGCATTACTTGAATAATAAGCATTATCCTTGTTTGTACAGAGCCCCAATGGGTATAGAATGTAGACAGTCTATTAATTGTGTACTTTCAGGGTGTCTAACCCATTGATTACATTTGTATAAAACACTGTGATATTTGCGAAGGTAGAAGAAGCATTATAAAATATAATAAAACTAAGCTTTTTTAATTTATCCACAATAATTTAATAAGCAGTTATAAATTTCTAAAAATGCACTATTAAAAACATAAACATACAAAAATGAGTGGTGCATTCACAAAAACTCACCAACAGTTATAAATAATCGATAATTAAACTAATTTCAACACAAGTGAAACAGAGGTCAGTAAATTCCTACTTTACATAAAAGAAATATTACATGACTCTGCTAAGTGTCTCAAGCTTTATTGTTATTTATTACCCAATGGGAGTTTTATAGTCATCACTGTTGCTGAATAATATTTAGGAAGAATGTACCAAAATAATGGTCAACGATTTAAAAAACTATTGATATAAATTTCTTCAAGATGTTAATTTGTTGCTAAAACTTTTAATAACTAAAAACAGTTAATATTAAATACTGCATTTAAAAATTGTTAACTATTTTTTTAAACCTTTAATAATTAAAAACAAACATGAAAATTGTCCATAACAAACTTCTTCAACATTTTAAAAGTTTATAAATCCTTTAATAAAAATAAACAACCAACAGGTTAAAAAAATGTGTTTAAAAAGCAAACCTTCCTAAACATGTTCTTAAAATCTTTAATAATAACAATAATAGTTAACTATAACAAGTCTTCAAATAATTTTATACACAAATCAAGAACTGGCTTAAAAATGTGTTCAAAACTCTTCAAAGGATCAAAATGTATTTTTATGAGACAAACAGCAAAAGGTTCAAATATGAACAATTGTCTTTATTTTTAAAAACTAAGCTTATAATTTCTGAAAGTTGTAACGGGATCAAAATGTATCCCTGCTGCTAATTCCAGATGCATTATAAACAAGAAATATGGGACTAGTAACCTCACCACTGAAAGCAAACCAATACAGCAATAAATGAATCCAGTGAACTGTGACTAAAACTCTTAACAAAATGATGAAGCAGAAAAATGTGCACAAAACAACATTTTTGATGGGGCCTTTCTCTACATTAACTGCTTCCACATTTTTTAAAGTTTTTAGTCAAAGTTCACTGGATTAATTTCTTGGATTTAGCTCGACTGCAATCACCCCTTATTCAACACAGCAATAGCACAAAATGCAACCTGATATTAGCTTCTTGAAATAACGCTCCTTGTAATTGCATGTTCCATAAGCAAAAATAGTTCTATGGCAAACACCACCAGAAGGGTACACTGCTACAGGAATCTGCATTACCTCCCATGAACTGTGAGCTAAGACAGATGGATATACTATCCTGGACATGCAGGATTGTGAGGAAATTAAAAAAGATTTTGGGGCTAAAAAAGTGATGGCAATAGAAACACTTATACTGGGCAAAGAAGACAAACAAACAAATGTATGCTGATAGAAGAGACCACATAAAGTTAGATGAAATGTAAGAATGATCTGAACTGGAATTAGGTGTGAATCTAGTAGAGAGGGATGCATAAGTGGAAGAGAATGATGTGAAATTAGCATCTACAATTTTCAAGATTCTTTGAGAAATGCTTCACTTATTTGTATATTTGCTTTTTTTTTTTTTTTTAAATTCCCAGAGAAACATTTCTAGTTACTAAATACTTCCCAGCAGGTGTGCTTACTGTCCATGTTTCAGATGCACCTAAGAGTACAGGCTCTATGTTCTTAAACACACTATTTTCTGGGTAGACAGTACGTTCTAGACATTCCACATTGTGAACAGTCAAGTGCTATAAACATTCTGCTCTACAAATTCAACATTCCAAACACTCAATGTTCTGGACATTTCCCATTCTGAACAATGTTCTGGACATTTCCCATTTTGAATTATGTTCTGGACGTTTCCCCTTCTGAACAATGTTCTGGACGTTTCCCATTTTAAACAATGTTCTGGACATTTCCCATTTTAAACAATGTTCTGGACATTTCCCATTTTAAACAATGTTCTGGATATTTCCCGTTTTAAACAATGTTCTGGACGTTTCCCATTCTGAACAATGTCCTGGACATTTCCCATTCTGAACAATGCCCTGGACATTTCCCATTTTAAACAATGTTCTGGACATTTCCCATTCTGAACAATGTTCTGGACATTTCCCATTCTGAACAATGTTCTGGACGTTTCCCAATCTGAACAATGTTCTGGACGTTTCCCATTCTGAACAATGTCCTGGACATTTCCCATTCTGAACTGCTCTGGACATTTCCCATTCTGAACTGCTCTGGACATTTCCTATTCTGAACAATGTCCTGGATATTTCCCATTTTAAACAATGTCCTGGATATTTCCCATTCTGAACAATGTTCTGGACGTTTCCCAATCTGAACAATGTTCTGGAAGTTTCCCATTCTGAACAATGTCCTGGACATTTCCCATTCTGAACTGCTCTGGACATTTCCCATTCTGAACAATGTTCTGGACGTTTCCCATTCTGAACAATGTTCTGGACGCTTCCCAATCTGAACAATGTTCTGGACATTTCCCATTTTAAACAATAGTCTGGACATTTCCCATTTTAAACAATGTTCAGGACATTGCTATTTGCCTTATACACTAAGGGCTGTGTGTTCAGTATCTGATTCTGTTCAGCGATTCACAAATTCAGGAGTTTTGGAAATCCCTGCTGGTCACTGTTTTAGCATCAGAGTGAAAAAAAGAAATAGAGACAGAGTGAGATAGAGAGAGAAACAGAGAGAGAGAGAGGGGGAGAAAGAGTCATACTGTGAAAATATGCAGAACAACTAAATCAACCCTCTTGCCTTAAAACACTTTTGTTGAAAAAAATAAATTTTTTTTAATGAAATCATGAGGGGTTATACTTAAAGTTCAACATGAGCATACCATTTACAAAATCGCAGCTGCCACCACACTATGGCTAATAAATATAAACAGGGAGAGTGTAAACATTACTCATTTACATACATATATGTGTGCACAAAGTATACATGCACTCCTGCATGCATCTGTGTGTAAATATAAAACTGATGGCTGCAAGCTTCTGGCCGTGTTTTGTTGTCTTCTTTATATTGCAGTGGTTGTTGTGGTGGTGGTGGTTGTAGTGATATTTTCAATGAAGCCTCTCTGAAGCAGTTTGTCCCGCAGCATTGTGAACACTTGAATTTGCTGTTCAGGTTTCAGCATCAGGACACTCTGAACTATATTCTGTGGGTTTGGTACCCTGAAATGTCAAACCATGAGAAAGTCAGTATTAGGACATGGAACACTGTTGTGTGCCTCTGGAAAATAATCACACAGACATTACAGTCTCTATATATATTATTGTTTTGGTTGACAAAAGATAAATGATTGCACACAAAATCAAAGAATCAAATGGTTTGCTCATCTGGTCAGAACCGAACAAAATTAGCCAGCAGTTAGAGCGTACTATATGAGAAAAGCAGGCCAAAAGGCCAGAGGTTGACCAAGAAAGAGACGGGTGTATGGAGTAAAAGACACTACAGAAACACAGTATAAAATTAACTCAATCTACACAACTAGCAAAAGAGAGGAAACCTAATCTACCTCCTCTCTGCGAAGCAGTTGGACACAAGAGGAAGTTTATAATCATCCCTGTGTGGGTTTCCTCGACCTATCTGAGAGGAAAAAAGAATATACATCTACTGCCCCCAAACAAGAATGTCCTAAAAGTACTTATTAGGCTATTTTCTTTGAAGCTGGAGTGCATCTACCTGACCCACGAGGAACCAACAGTCTGCATTTAAATAAATCAGATCTGTAAAATGGATGTGTATCCAAAACTCAAGTTCTAGAACAGGACCAAAGTCCAGAAATGGATGGACAACCAGGAATGTCTGCCAGAGTTTACAGCAGGTGAGCATGAAGAATAGAAGGTGTCTCCTGCTGTTAATGGGATGCTTGTCTGAATGCCTACATCAACATCAGCTGCATGTTTCCTTCTAACAGATGCTTTCTTTATTGATGCCACACTTGATAGTATACATGTCAATCATTTGTGATAAGTCGATATAAGGGGTTTCATTTTATCATGTCTTGTACACTATCATCATCTGTTTATGCTGTTATACTCACACAGGGCTAGACTATTCTTCTATTCCATTCTATCCTGTGCAACTGATTCAATATCATGGATGAAATCCAGTCCAGCATCTTTGGCCTCTCTCATCAACGTTCATCTTGAGGTTTCTTTTAGACATCCTCATCTCATCAATTTCCCATTTAAGTGCCTGTTTGGTTATTCTGTTTGCCTCTTCTCAGATGTGCCCAATATACTGCTATCTTCTTTGTTTCATAACTGTTGATATCAATACTTGTTCTGACATTTATATTATTTCTTCATTGTAATAAGTGAGAACCCAATGAGCCACAAGGGGTTCCCCAGTGTGTGTAAGGGGTTCAGGGTCAAAGGCCAATTAAGAATGAATCAGTAGGAAAGAGGGTCCCAAGTAGGCTTGTGATTTCCTCGTGAACGATTGAGTGATTAAAAGAAGAAACTCATGAACAGGAAGAAAAGATTGGACATGAGGAAGTAGGAATGATTAGTTGGTGTTTGACAGCAAGAGAGAAAGGTTGGTTTGGTTGAAATAATTGAGGTGAATCGTGATAATTGACAGTGGGAACGAATATCAGGCAGGGAGAGAAACGGCTGAGCCGTGGATGAAAGTGTGTTTAGCAGTTGAGTTGATGAAAATGCTTGCTGTGCTGTGTATCCAAGACAAGGACCTGGTGTGAATGGGACTTCTAGATTAATGAAGGTAACTGAACTGTTGTTAGCTCTCTGTTGCTCAGAAGTCACAGCATACTCCCAGTAGAACCAGTAATGACCAGGGACAGCGATGAAGTGGTGCGACTGTTGGAACAGCAATAAACAACTGATTGTAAATTGAGTGTGGTCAGATTGTATGATTGCTACAAACTTAACTAGTTGGGAGAGAGAAGAACAAAGTCACTGTTGGCCAAGAAATAGACCAAGGAGGCCCACTACATTCATATTTCTTGAATTCAGTACCTTTAATGCTCATTTATTTCCTTAGGCATTTGTTTTTTTTAATGCATTCAACTTTAGTTCTATGTCTTGAGCCATTCTCCAACTTTCACTTGCACATGTAACAAATTAAATAACAGTGGTACTGAAAATACACAAATTGGTTTTAAAACTACATAATTTGGAGTTCCATATTTTGTTCAAGGTTAGGGTGAAAGGCTGCTATTGCCTTGTCATTACATATCATAGTTTATTTCTTTGTGTTCCGCAGCAACTAAAATTACTAAATAATTAAACTGATTTTTGCTTTGTTTCCAGTGACTTTTTCCCTGATCTGCCTCGTATGTAGATGATAAGAAGCCACTCTGATATGAGGGCTGCACTTACTTGATGAAGCTGGAATGGTAGACATGAACAAAGGTTGCCATGAGGAACTGACAATCAAAGCGATCCATAATGCCACCATGTCCTGGAATTGTATCACCAAAGTCCTGCAGGAAAATATAAATAAGTTCAAGAGACTTGCCATTTTTGGAAACAACACAAGGTAGTCTGCTGCCAAATGGCCTGCAGCTGGGATTGAACCAAGTACCTCAGAATTATAGATTGCGTTTGCAACCTCTACGCCACAGACGCGAACAAACAACTGAACATAAAATTGCCTAGTAAAAACACACAATCCACCAAAAAATACTTTTGTTTTATCGTGGCGTCGCAAAGAGAACATGTAACTAACTTTCACACTGATGCAAGGAATCAGTTTTAAACATTTATACACAGGAACAAGAATACATAAACATACAGGCACATGAACACGATTCAAATAGAAACTCAAAATTGGTAGTGGCAGTTAGAGGCATTATACCGTTATTACATAGGTTGGCAGTCTCTGTATGTCCTTTTAAACCAAATCAACACTTTTTATTTTACTAAGAGGAAAAGTAATTTTTAAAGTTAAATACAATTTCTGCTAAAGAGGACTCACACATCGGTAACCGGGTCGCCCACTGGCTTGCTCGCAGACCACTTCATCGTCGGTCGGGACAGTATTTGGGTCTGTCTCCTTTGATCGCATCAACACTGCAAGAATCCTTTTCAGGGCTCTTAGTGGTGTGCAATGCTAAGCCATTTTATACGGCACACATAACCTAGTCACAATTATAACCTAATGCTCCCCTTCAGGGATGCTGGTTGAACGTGACAATTTAAATTTTTTTTCCAGCAAAACACCTGCCTACAACTGCCAAAGAGAAAAGTTAAATGCATTTTTACAGCTTATATATAAAATACTAAACAGTTTAAAGGAAGAGGATTGACTTTACTGAACTGACTTTTATCCAAGAAGCTTAATCTCTCTCTGCATAGTAGCTAGCTCAGTGCCGAGAGTGTCACACGAAGCAAAAACTCTTTAGCTCCAGCAGTAATCTTCTGGGATTATGTTAAAATTGCACCCATGAACTGAATTTATCATCTTAAGAGCACAAGGATTAACCACTTAAAAAGTAAAATAGTGAAGGACTATTTTCCACGCCTTTAGGCACACTGGGAATTTAGAGCCAGGCCCATATTTTATAGACCAAACATCACTTGGTGGATGTTGTGGTCAGCATTATGTCGGCCGCCTTTACCTCCCAGGACGGCACCTGGTACCCATTCAAGGCTGGGTCGACCTGGGAGTCAAGGTTATTTTTGAAACAAAGTCAGGATCCGTCAGGACCCAAACCCATTACCTTCCAGTTCGTAAGCGAGCGTCTAGCGGCTACACCACGGTGACCCCTAGCTTAACCACTAAGCAATGGAAAATTCCTGCACAATATGTCCCTCAACAGCTGTTTTCTGGTAATACTATACGATGTTTCCCCAATCTCTTTCATAGTGCAATTCTTATACCACTGTCAAAAAGCCATGAGAATAGGTGTTTTTTTTTTAAATTTAAAAAAAAAAAACAACAACAAAAACTGAGGTTTACCTTGATTTTAAAAGCTCTTTTAAATCCACTGGCAAAGAAGCCACCAAAGGGGCCTATAACTGATGCAAACAATGACAGGGCAACTGAATGAAGAATGAATGGATACACACTGACTGTTGTTTTCTTGATTCCCAGCTGCAAACAGACAATGTAAGTGGTTTCAATACCTAAGGAGACATGGTTGCAACAGGTCAAAGTATGCTACTGGGAATACAAAACATGAAGGATGAACACAAGTGATTTGGAAAAAAAAAATGTATAGAACAAATGGTAAAGTACACTTTAATAAGAATGTAACAAATATAAGAAATAAGATATTACTGAAGAAGCAATATCCTACTGAAGAAGTTGTATATTTAAGAAACTGAAGCCTCCTCAGGAAGCCACAGGTTAATGAAGTTGTGTGTGTTTATGAAACTTTATAATACTGAATAAATCATATACTAAAAACACAACATTTTTAAGAAACTGCATTATTTAGTTAGTCTTTCTTCTTGAGCCTAGGATTGCACATAGGACAGAGGTCATAACTCTCCAGTTTAGTCTGCCAGCCCCCTGTTTTAGGTCTCAGATGTTTATTGGGCCCTAGGCTGTGCCCTCCCTGATGTTGGTTCTATGCAGGGTTTCTCTTGATCTTCCCTGTTGTCTTTTCCCTTCTGGTGTCCATATGAGGGCTTGGTGGGGGAGTCTCGTTGTATCATTCTGATGTAGTTCCAGCGGCGCTTTCTTACAAAATTGGATACATCAACTTGCTTGGTCTCTTGTCTTATTTGTAGGTTGGATCTTAAATCTTTCCAGTGAAGATTTAGTATTAAGAAACTGTATGCTATTAAATAAATCACATAAGATGCAAGCATGAACTATAAATTGCAGTGGGTCAGCAGATTTAAGGCTCGATCAGTCTATGCCTCTCCATGGCCAACACAGACGCTATCAATATTTTTTTAAAGTAGCAGCGCATCTGTTTGACAGGCAAGGAGCCAAAATTGAAAAAAAAAAAAAAAAACCCAACTAATCCGTCAAATGGATGTGCATGCAACACTCAAGTCCCGGAACAAAAACCACCATAGTCCAGACAGACATGGGCAAACAATCAGGACTTTCTGCCAGTTCTCATGCGATAAGATCAGCATAATAATAAGATATCAGATGTTTCAGAAACTGAGCTGCTGAAAAAAGCAAATATTAAGGAAATTACATGTTTAAAACAAGTCAAACTGCATTTAAGAAGCTTCATATTACAGTTTTCTAACACTTCTCTTTGTCAAAGTGCTGAAAATGTGGCAAACAATCTAAATCCACATATATGATGTACATGAAATGCTTAAACTTCCTGAGTTCTTTCCTGAAAATCCTATCATGCAGCAACAACAGCTGCTACATTAAAAAAAAAAAAACGTTACTTACTAAATTGAAAAATGCCCTGATGGTCTCTGGTAAATTGTACTGGGAGAGTACAAAGACATGGGAACGCTCACACTCCATCGAGAGGGCATCTTTAGATTCATCATATGACACGGGACAGACAAAATAGTCATACTGCAGCAGGAAGTAGGATAACTGCAAAAGTATTAACATACATATAATACACATTAAAAAACTTGAGATAATCAGGACATAAAAACAAGTTTATTTCTCAATTTTGGTCCCAAGTAATGCACCATGAGCTTTAGGCAACTCACAGTCTGTTATGTTTGGTCTGGACAAGCAAAAGAAAGTTGGCCAGCTACTTCATTATGCAGTGCACATTATCAGTCACTAAAGCCAAACAATGAACAAGGCTTGGCAAGAGTTGGTTGAGGTTCTATGATTTACTAGAGAATTAAGGGATGAAGAAGAAGAAAAGAAGGAGAAATAAGAAGAAGACTGCCAACCTATGTAATAACGGTTTATTGCCTCTAACTGCCACTACTAATTTTGAGTTTCTATTTGAATCGTGTTCATGTGTCTGTATGTTTATGTATTCTTGTTCCTGTGTATAAATGTTTAAAACTGATTCCTTGCATCAGTGTAAAAGTTAGTTACATGTTCTCTTTACGACGCCACGATAAAACAAAAGTATTTTTTGGTGGATTGTGTGTTTTTACTAGACAATTTTATGTTCAGTTGTTTGTTCGCGTCTGTGGTGTAGAGGTTGCAAATGCAATCTATAATTCTGAGGTACCTGGTTCAATCCCAGCTGCAGGCCATTTGGCAGCAGACTACCTTGTGTTGTTTCCAAAAATGGTTTCATAAGCTGATCATTCAGAGAGCAATGGCAAACTACTGAACACAAGATTGACTACAAAATCACAAACAACCAATAAATGCTGGGGTTTGCCCTGCAATATCCTGTAGAGGGTACGCAACTAACTAGTTTGTCACTTGTTTCTTTTCTTTTTAAATGATACAACACTGATATCATTAACGTCATCACAAAGCTATCTGTTCCCAAACTGCCTGTAGCAGTTATCTAACACCAGTATGTCAGATTTCAAAGTTGTGTTTGTTTCCCCCAAGGCTATGACATTTTACTATAATCAAAGAAAACCACACAGCTCTAATAACAAGTGACTTACTGGGTGTGATATAACTTAACTGGAGATGTACTTACAATGATGCCAAAAATTACAGTTGAGAATGCACCACCAATGAACCCTTCCCAGGTTTTCTTTGGGGACAACTTGATCAGAGGAGTGCGGCCAAAAAAGAAACCAAACATGTAGGCCATAATGTCATTGCAGATAATCATGGATACTGGCACAAGAACCCTGTTAACATAAAAATACAAAGAGAAACATGAGTAAGCATGAAGTACAAGTGACTTTACTCTGAAGGACAACCAATAATTTCTCATTCATTTTCATAAAGGTATTTTTTTAAACATAATAGATTACTGTGATGTTCATCATTGGCCTTTCCTTTCCATTGTTAAAAACCAAAACCATGATAATTAATAACAATGGAACGTAGAGGCCATCAATAAATATCACAGAACAGAGAGAGAAATTAGACCAAGTAACAAGTTTCCTCTATTTTGGACACAAAATAACCGATGATGGCAGATGTGTAATAGGAGTTAACAAGAAAATAGAAATGGCCAAAAGTATTTACAACAGACCTGGTCAATGAAATAGCAACTAGAAAAAGTTTCTGGAGATGTAGACGTACAGAAGTATAGGTCACATTTCATGGCGAAAAAACAAATACAGAGGTTCTGAAGAGACTAGGATTGAAAAGAGTTGCAAAAGGAAAATAAAAACAAAAACAAAACAAAACAAAAGACACAAGCAAAATATTTTTTTCCATATTAAAAGGCATAAAATTGATATGAAAACTATACTGGATGGTAAAATTAAGGCTAGCAAAAAACAAAGCAGAAAGCTAAACAAGTGGGAATATAACATCAAGAGATGGACAAACAGCAGTCTGAGAGAATGTACATCCAGAGCAAAAGACACAAACAGACCATTAGAGCCCGAGGAGAACAGCACTACGAGGAGTTACTAGGGGATCTGGCTGTTGCTCAACACTCAAGGGAAAGGCGAGACGGATATACAATCAGTTACTGGTACCATCAGAATTGGAACTGTTCACTTGTTGCTGAAGATGGGGTTTAAGCGCTTAGGGGTGAGTTCTGATTCTTAATTCAAAATTCAGAGAAACAGTCAGTGTTCAACCGATAGAGACATCTTCTAATTATTGTATGGCAAGGTAACAGTTATTATAGTTACCTTTGTGTACTTCTGTTAGTTCATTTGCTCTTGTCAAGCATGAGTACTTTCTATGGAAGCAGCTCATTGTATATGTGAACAAGACTAGTAGTCCATCTAAGCTGAGACTAGTACAGCTTAGTGTGGTAATTTGGGCATTTTGATGCTTGTTCACTGAATCCTCACAATAAGTATAACAATAAGAAATACACAATAAATACAGTAACAAATAAACAAAACAAATCCCCCCAAAAAGTATAACACTCTTAAGTCAGCAGCTCTCAAACACCCTTGTCAAGCAAAAAATTGTTCAAGGCACACCAACCCTTAAAGCGGTTTGAATACTTGGGAAAAAAAAGTGCACATTTAATGTTCACTTCTCTTTAATGCGATGAATGAAGCTGTTTGGATGAATTCTTCATTATTTCCTTTATGTTTATGGGAAGTTTAGTTAATTTTACCCTCAAATCACTTGACCCGGAAAGTTTGTTCCTGTATCTGTTTTTATGTAAGTGTACGTTTAGAAAGCGTGCAGCCGTGCCAATAGCACTGCCTTCTGAGTACACCTGGATTCAGAACTCTTCTTGGCTTCCTTCATGGATTTTATGTTTTTTAAACTGTCGTCTTCACTGATCTCAAGCAGATTTGGAAAAATTCTTGATTACTGCCGCGGCACCCCTGGCTTAAGCTCGTGGCACCCAGTTTGAGAACCGCTGCTCTAAGTAATGCACTGACAGTAAAACCTCCTTAACATGAAATCCAAGGAACCAAACAAACATATTAAACCATTCCATATTAGAATAGATCCATCGGCACGCTAATATCTTTTTAATATATAGTAACATTTTTCTTTTTAAACAAAAAACATATGTATGCCACAATTAAAAGATAGACAATGTTGATCTAAAAACTGAAATACATTCTTTTTGGTTATTGTTATTTCTTTTCTGGTAAATGACAATACTCACCAAATAAGACCTTCCAAGACATTCTGAACAATGAAATGTGACTGAGCAACGACGAGCAAGAGGGTAACATGTGTCCATCCAAACTGGGAAAAAAAGAAATGTGTCAGAAATCAAAACTGTAATCAGATGCACACACAAACCCATATAAGCTCAAAAGTGAGAGAAAACTTTCATGTATTACATTATAATCACATATTTCACTCACAGAGTACTGCATGTTACATCAGGTTGGTGTATTATAACTTCTTTAGAAGTTGAATTGGGTATCTAGTATCTAGTATTTGACCTGTTTCCTTGCTATCCAGACTGAGATGATATAACCTCAGGTGGTAAAACTTTCTGGTAGCTGATTCTTCTTCTCCTGGAATGCCTCGCGGCACCAGGGCAGGAAGAGATCTCTGGACCCTTCGGGCCTTTCTTATTGCTTCGTATAAAGTACTTTTCAGTGTCTCTGATATTTTTGCAGTCCATCTTCTGTGTGGTTGATCTCTGGCTCTGTTACCTCTTATCTGTATAACACTGCTCTCTGTGGTGCCCTGTCTGAAGCCAATATGATCCTTGTTACATAGCCAAACCATCTGATTTGTTGTCTACCTATAAAGTTCAGTATTGGTTCTGTGCTGACTCTCCTGATATCATAATTCCTAAGTTGATTTTTCCTCTTTACATCTAGCATAGTACGTAAATATTTCATTTCTATCGTGACTATTTTCCTTCTGTCATCTGAAGACAGTGTCTATGTTTTACATTGATAACATACTGTTGGTAAGAATATTGTGTTGAACACTGTTCTTTCAGTGTTCATATTCACATGCTTGCATTTCAAAATTGGGGCCACCTGGCCAAAACTTGAAGGTTGCAGCTCCAATGGGGGGAACAATTAAAGGAAGGAAGGATACTTTCACATAAATACTTTCCCCCATTTGCCACACAGAGTCATGACTCTAAAGTGTCTTTCTTCTGTTCTGTGTTAATTTAATTTATTTTATAATCTAGCTGCATGAGCATATTTTGAAATATTTTCTTCATACAAGCACACATGTCAAAGACATTTTTAACATGAACATTTCCACTGCTGGCCCACGTAGATTCTAAATGGCTCATGAGTCTGAAGCATCTTCCTCCTGTTATCTTTTAATTTATTTTATAATTTACTGTCTTTAATATATTTTGGTGTATCTGCTTGTATCTCTGAGATGTTAAAAACGTTTTTCTTTTTTTCGTAAAATCTTATATTTTTCTCAGCGCTCATCAGCAATAAATAACAGCAGAAAGTTCTGGTTGTTCGTCCACTTTGGGGCTTTAATCTTGTTTTGGGACTTTAGTTTTGCATACACATCCATTTGACAGATCTGGCTTATTAGTATACAGATTGTTGGTTCCCCACCTCTCAGGCAGATGCACTCTGACTTAAAACATCCCTAATCAGACGCCTTTTACAACATGCTTGTTAAGGGCAGTAAGTCTATTCTTTTCTCCCACCAAAATGGGGCCCCAGAACCCAAATGATGATCTCGAAGATTTGTTAGCAACAACAACATCACAAAACTGCTTACCAGTGTGAACTGTTTCAAATAGTGCTTCTTTACCAGACTGCAGACGAAGCCCACGAGACCTGCTGTGTACAGAGAAAAGGAGATGAACCTATGATAGGTCGCAAAAGGTCTCAGCATGTCCTGGGGGAAGAAAGTACATGTACGTTATAATTAAAATAACTTACTGAAGCTGCATAGTGTATTTGTCAGGGTTCGTTGCCAAATTCACCAACTTTTTTCAGGGGTTTTTCATGGTATTTTTTGTTTAAGGGTGTACTGGGCATATGCGATACTTTATTCTTGCGCACACATGTGGGTATGCACACAAATCTTTTCCAAACCTGGTAGAAGAGGGGAATAAATTAATTTGTAGCACTAATTTAGATATCGACACAGTTGTCCGGAGTTTAATCTTCATAAACAAACAGGCTGTGAATTTCAACTAAAGGGTTCAATTTTTGAGATTTACTTTATGGTAAACTAATTATAAAGTATACACCTGATGAAATAAAGTGAAATATGCCAGATAATAAATTCTATTGTATACGTCTTTATTATCCAAACTATAAGAAATCTGTAAGTGTGGAAAATTATACACCAAACAGTAGAAAGTACCATGTCCTTTGAGAGTTAACAGTTAATTCAGTCAATCAGGTGTCATCTCCATGATGAAAGTTAGATGTAACAGATCTCTATCTATCATATATCCTGTCCTGGTGATAAATCATTCAGATATATTGCTGTTCATCAACCTATTAATGTTATGGTTTCATGTTCATTGTTGTCAGTCACTTTGTTCTCCAGTAATTATTTTAAACAACTCTTATGTCTTTAAACAGTCATTATGTTCATTAAGGAGCAACATATGATATGGTTTGATCATCTGATGAAAAGGCCCCCATACCAACTGCCACTGAGAGACACTGAATGAACAGAGGGCAAAGGGAAGACCAAACAAAATATCGAACAACAACATTAGGAGCAGCCTTAAAGAAATTAAGAAAGAGCAGTCAGAAGATTCTTGCACAACACACCACCCCCCCCCCCCCCCCCCCCTCCTCCTTTTCTCTCCAGCAACTCTTCGATGAGATACTGGGAGAACGGAAGAGAAGGAGGAGATGGAATAGGAAGAAGAGAAAATATTTTGTCTTATAATGTGGTATGCTATTATATCTGGTCATTTCAACTTATAGAGTCTGAGTATCAGGGTACAGTGAAATCTGATCTTAGCAGCAGAAACTATAATTCCAGACAATACACAAATCTTTTCCTGTGGTCAAAACATGTTCCAGTTTCTACTTCTCAAATGTAACCACAATTGATGATTATCTTTTTCTGATGTTTGTGATAAGTTTTCTTCAGGCTCTGGACTCTTTCAAAACATCAGGATTATTCCTTCTGACTGTGCAAGAAATTGTAAGCATTCTGCTGTAAAAATACATCCTTTGAATTCTTATCTTAGCAAAAGAAAAGATAACCCCTATCAATACAAAGCAAATGCTAGCATACTTACAGTGCCAGCCAGGAGTACTCCAAAGTAGCCAATCATACTCTCCCCAAAGAAGAAGAAATTAGAAGCAAACAGGAAGTACCAGCTTAATGTTCTAAACCATGGAAGGTCATAGGAGCGGTAGACAATGTAGCCAATGGTGATTATCTCATGGAAGCACTTGATCTGAAGAGCAAATGTCTGAAACATAAAAAGAAAAGTCTTTTAACAACAGTGGTTTTCAAACTCTCCAATCACCGCTACCTCTTTTATTTTGAGGCCACGTCCATTTTATGTTTCCCGGTCCAGGATGAGAGTGACTTTCCTTGCCATTCATAAATCCCCATGTCACAGGGCTTGTCCTATGTTGCCGGGGTGTCATGCTTTGTCACCGACCAGAATTACGGCCCAAAACATGCAGAACTGGCCCTAACCCCAACGCCCCTACATCCCACGAGACAGTTCTCACAAGAGAGTGCAGTCTATGTCCGACGACTGCATGCACAACATTATTGTCCCCATAATTCAAGGTTACCTTCATGTTCATGGTTTCCTATCTTCATGGTTTCCTATCAGTAGATTACCAGAGTCTCATGTCAGGTCTGTGCTCTTGTCCAAGTTATGCCCTGTGACCAATCCATTCAAGTATGTATCTCTGGGTGTTTCCCTGGCTAAGTTCAAGTCAGCTGTCACTAAGTATTTAAACCCATTTCTCATCACCATATGCCCAAACAATCTTGACTACTTTAATGTAATTTATATGTTAAATTTATAGTTTTCTGAAGGACAGTAACACTCTAACACACTTATTTTTTCTCAGTGTTTTTTATGGCATTTTGCTGCTAATTTTTTTCACCCAGCTAAAGTCCACTTTTCCATGGTAATTATTATAACCTCTGCAAGATCATTTCTGTCACATGGTATGACTGTTCCAATACAGTCTTATCAATCTGCATGCAAAACAATGTTCTTATTTGTGTTTAAAGAATATTTATTAGTGTTTACAATAGTGTAAAACAATCCTGTTTGTACACTTCTTTTGAATGGCCCCTACTAACCGACTACATTTTAAATTGTTATGACATGTTGTTAGGGGAATGAGTGTTAGGAATATGGCCAGGAGGCAGTAGCTTGAAACAATCTGGAAACTAAAAGAGCATGCTCTTATATACAAAGGCAGCAGACCAATCATCTACTGAGAACAAAAATCATTCCAGTGCAAACTTTAATTAAATAATTAAACCCAGACCTATAAACCAAAGACTGAGTAGAGCAGACGCTAGACAGATTGCCTTCTGGCTTGGTGTTTGTAAGCTGAGGTGGAATTTTAAAACTCATCTGAGATAACATGTCAAGCTGGTCTAAAATGAATAACAAGAAATGTTCTAGGAAATAAAGGCAGCTGGCGACATCCACTTTCTTCTTCTTCTTTGTTCACTGGCTGTAAGCTACGGTGGAAAGTCCTGGTTTGTTGTCTATTTGGACTTTCGCTTTGTGCCTGGGCTGAGTTTTGTGTGTACATCTGTTTTACTGGCTTATTTGTGTGCAGTTAATTGTTCCTTGTCTCTCAGGCTGATAGACTTCAACTTCAAATGAGACCACAATTAGTCGACTCTTATGACATGCTTTGTGGGCAAGCAGTGGGTCAATTCTTGTGTTTTCCTCAATGGGGTCCCGGAACCCACATGGAGACATTCACTTTTAAGGTGGATTGGTTTACACTACATGTCGGGTTAGCATCATGTTCACTACATGCCTAGAGAAATGTAAACAGGTCCTTTAATTTTACCAAAACTATTTATTTATTCAGCTAGCTCAGATAAGATTAATTCTCTTACCACAAGAACCAGCGCTAATGGCCCAAGGTAAATCATAAATGCAAATGAAAATATCATCAGCCAAGTAAAGATGCCTCGAATTACCCAGTTTCGCCATCTGTAGATAGAATATGAAGAAAAAGCTTAAGGATTTACACTAGGATGTATATAGAATTATTATTAATTTACATAAAGAAAACTTCAATAATTTAATCTAGTAATTTAGCATGGCAAAACGGGTAACAAAATAGTAAAAAAATAAGACCAAACGAACAAACAAATCAATAACTTAATACTTTCAGTTACAAAGCAGTGTTAAATAACAGGCAGTAATAAAATAATTATGCCTAAACTAATCAAACTTATTAATAAAGAGGGTAAAGGCTTCTATTGTTCGACATTATATTAGAGACTGTTATTCTCATTTAATATTTGCAGTGCTATGACCATACTCCTTTTGACTTCAGTTGAACAGTCTCCAGTGCTGTTTATTATGGAGAATAGTTATTCAAAGTTTGTGATATTTTCAATTTCTTCAACCTTTATTGTTATTTCTGGGTGACAGCCAGTTTTGTTTGTGGACATTATACGTAATGCTGGCATCGAGAAAAAATTTCACTGAAAACATGCTATGAAAAGGAAGCTCAATAAAGGGAATGGGGAAAAACCCAGACAGAAACATTTACATTGCCCATTTGTATTGTCCCAGAAACATTTACATTGACCATTTGTATTGTCCCAGAAACATTTAAATGGACCATTTGTATTGTCCCAGAAACATTTACATTGACCATTTGTATTGACCAGGAAACATTTACATTGTCCATTTGTATTGACCCAGAAACATTTAAATGGACCATTTGTATTGTCCCAGAAACATTTACATTGACCATTTGTATTGACCAGGAAACATTTACATTGTCCATTTGTATTGACCCGGAAACATTTACATTGTCCATTTGTATTGACCCGGAAACATTTACATTGTCCATTTGTATTGACCCGGAAACATTTACATTGTCCATTCGTACTGACCCAGAAACATTTACATTGTCCATTTGTATTGACCCGGAAACATTTACATTGCCTATTTGTACTGACCCAGAAACATGTACACTGCCCATTTGTACTGACCCAGAAACATGTACACTGCCCATTTGTACTGACCCAGAAACATTGACATTGCCCATTTGTACTGACCCGGAAACATTTACATTGCCCATTTGTATTGTCCCAGAAACATTTACATTGTCAATTTATATTGTCCCAGAAACATTTACATTGTCCATTTGTATTGTCCCAGAAACATTTACATTGTTCATTTATATTGTCCCAGAAACATTTACATTGTCCATTTGTATTGTCCCAGAAACATTTACATTGTCCATTTATATTGTCCCAGAAACATTTACATTGTTCATTTATATTGTCCCAGAAACATTTACATTGCCCATTTGTATTATCCCAAAATATTTACACGGCCCATTTGTATTGTCCCAGAAACAATTACATTGCCCATTTGTAGTGTCTCAGAAACATTCACATTTGTGTGCAAGTTTTTTCCTTTCCCCTATGGTGAGCATCCTAGTCATAGCTTGTGTTCACTGCATTTTAAATCAACACTTTTATTAATTATTTCATTTCTCACCCTTCAGTGAGCATCATAGTTATAGCTTGTGTTCAGTTAATGTATTTGTATGGCCATCAAGAATATCAGAACACAGAATAACTAAATCTTACATGTTACCACCAATTGTTAATTGCTGAGGTAGCAAGCAGCAAGTAGGAGCAAACAGTAGATATACAGAAGTATCTAGATGACAACAGAAGCCCACCAAGGTCCACTCTAATGTTCTTTATTATGTTCATGTTAAAGATAGTAGGTGACTGTTGGGGTTTTGTTTCCACATGAAGAAGAACTTTCCTTTAAGACAATAACTTTGGGAAGACAAAAACACATAAAGAAGGAAACTAGAGAGTGATGTTAAAATGTTGATGGGGACATGGGGTTAAGTGCATGCAACAGGAAAGGATAGGACAACCTGACTATAGTTGGTTGAAGGCCTAAGCTCCATTGGATGATAAAGGGCAGACAGAGAAAATATCTTAAAAGAGTAATATTTGCTTCTCTCTCACCTTGGTGAAAAATCTTTCAGTGCACTATCCAGCGCCTCAGATGTTTTATCAGAAGCTTGTGACGGCTTAGACGGTTTCATTGGAAGATCATCTTCATCACTGTCTGAGGCAGAGACCTGCGCTAACGCTGTTGCCTTTTTTTTGGAGGGGGGGGGGGGTATATGTTGACAATAAAGAGTTATTTTCTACATTGTTTAAAAAAATATTCATTATCTTCTAGAGCAGCTTAAAATTTAGTTTCTAAAAAATGTGTTGACCACATAAAAACAAAAGCCATTTTCAAAGTGAAGGGCTGCTATGAATCTATTGAAGCCTATGATGATTGTTTCTCTAAGCTTGCTACTCTGTTCAATCCTGAAAAAGAGTTATATGCTCTCAAGTTAGCTCAAGGTCTTAAAGGTGAGGCATATGAGATTTATCAGTGGATGCCGGAAGGTATCGAAACAGACTTTGATGTGTTGTGTGCGGCCCTGCTAAAGAGGTCTGAATTGAATCCTTACACCTTTAGAAATAAGTTCAGATCTGAAAACATGTTCTACCTCTCTTGCTCAGGTGACGCTCTGACTGGCTACTGTCAATCTAATTTTGTAAAATATACTTTAACATTCACATTATCACGAAATGCTTGTTCACCACCTTCAAATATTCCCTCCAATCGCGAATATCATGATAACTTTCTGAAAACCTTGTTACAAGGTAGAAGACAAAAAGGGAGTGCATTAGTGTAAATAAAAGGGGGAAAAAAAACATTGAACGATAGACTTCAATCATGAAAAGACATTGAGCATATGGCAGAGCCACTGCAATCACGTTCCACAGTGAAGTGGTCCGCAGTCATGATTCTTCTCCATGCAACTAAATCCTGCAACAATGTTTTGCTGTGTCAGACATTTGTTGGTTCTAACACCTGTGCAGCAATATGTCTATTAAGACTACAAGCCCCTGGTATTTTTTTAATTTTTAGTTTAAATTTGTTTCCTGCAACGTCACTCTCTGTTTTATGACATCTCTACAATGATATTCAGAAAGAGCAATGGCCTTGCATTTAAACAGTTTTGGATGATTATAATTTGTTTTGAATAACACCTTCCAACAAGCCTGTTTTCTATCTATAAAATAATCCATTTACAATGAGTTGATGGTTTGTAAAATAAAAAGAAGAATCACAACAATAAATATGATATAAACAAATTAATATATGATAACAAGGATAAACTGTAATAATACTACTATCATCATCAACGATATTTTGTGAATATTGAATAAAATCAATCAATAATATTAATTATTATTATTATTAATTTATATTTACTTATCATTATTTATTATTATTTATTTTTCTCATCTACTTCTTACTGGAAAGCAAACTGTCAGCTCGATCCACCAGTAATGGTTTCAACAGGAAACTTTAGAAAACAAACAACCATCGCTGATGTGTTAAGTTTTACACCAACTAGCATAGACAACTTGACGAACAAGCAAAACTTACAGAACTGTCGTCACTGTTGGTCTCAGCAACGGATACTGGTTGTTGAACAGGTCGCTGGCGCAGATCTGCATTGAGCGATGCCATAATTATCCGTGTTTCCAACAGCTGAATTAGACAAAATAAAATGCAGCAAAGTAAAATCAAATGCACGCTGCTATATTCTCGATGTTACCAGGACTACAGTTGTAAACTGTACTGCAGATGATAGAAACAGAATCGTCGTAGTGGTCCTACACTTTACATTGCTCAGTCAGTGTTAGACAATGTCTAAATCGCGAAATAAAACATTCTCACTTTTATCAATAATATATGCAGCTATCACTTTAATTAATATAAGCAAAATAGAAAGTATGAGTGTCAAAACAAATAAAGTCATAACTTTATGAAATTCTGGCTAGAACTAGGCTATTAAAATTAATGCATACTCTTGTTTTATGCACTAAAAATGGTATTATTCGTTCAAAAGATGAAGAAATATATCTAGTTCATTTTGGTGTTTACATTTAACAAATAATCATAATATAGTGAGAATCTATTGCTTGAAAGACATGGTTTAGTTAAAGGAGAATAAAATAGTTAAATCAAATTATATTCCTACCTTTATTATTTTAAATCAAAATATATTTCAGATGTGCTGATAAGATACTGATTTATAATAATATTTAAGTTTTTAATCATTGTGACTGCAAAAGAAAACACTATCCACTCCACGCACAAAAATGTGTTAGGGAAGTATTCTTAGATTCATTCACAAATAACTGATCAAAGGTCTTGGGCTGGAATTCAAAAGTCGAGATGATCTGCTTTATTGCACTATGTTTTATCTCATGTTGTTAATTATTTCTCCACATAGTAGCTATTCACCTGGCGAGGGAGTCACACGAAGCGCGAATTCTATAGCTACAGCTATGAGCCCTTGGAATCTCTGTGAAAATGCTCTCATGAGCATAACATTAGCAAAAATACGATCTCTTTCTGTAAGGGCAATGTTAAGATAGGACAGGTTGCCATCATTGTCATCGTCAAGTGCCTTACCGACAGGCGTGGGCGATCATGCCTCGACACAATTTACGATGTTCAGCGGCGTGAAATAGTTCGTAAAATCGTGTGCCATCACAAAAGGCTATCAATAATAATCTTGCATTGTCGTCGTCTGTCTCTTTTTCCACAGCTTGGCACAGCCATTGTTATAACAATTGGTTACTGCATATCTTTTATGTGGTGTTGACTTCTGTGAGAGTTTACTGTCTGTTACTGTTGTTACGTCTTCACCAAGAGTGAACATCATTGCTCTAAGTTTTATTCTTAAGCCCTTATCTCGTCAGATTTTTCCTAAGGTAGTTTTTACTTTTGCTGTCCAGGAGCTTGAAACTTATTTCAATAATGGGTATAGCGATCCATTGTAGACATCCGCAGTAATTATTTTGAAGTTTCTATTTGAGATATTTTATTCAAGAAAAGGGGGTGTGCTGGAAAACGATCAGGCATTCAGACCGGCTGGTTCTGTACTATTTGGTGTAAACTGATGCATGAAAAGCTTTATGTTGTTACGGTCTTTTGGGTGTGAGTGAACACTGCAGAGGCACAAATAGGTCATTGCGGTTTGAAGAGAATGGTGCATCGAGCAAGGAGTGACCAAGGAATCAATTGCTCAACACTCAGGAACATACAGTCTTTACCCACAATTAACGGACATACAATCAACACTCAGGAACATACAATCTGAACCCACAATAAACGGACATACAATCAACACTCAGGAACATACAATCTCAACCCACAATAAACGGACATACAATCAACACTCAGGAACATACAATCTGAACCCACAATAAACGGACATACAATCAACACTCAGGAACATGCAATCTTAACCCACAATAAACAGACATACAATCAACACTCAGGAACATACAGTCTTAACCCACAATAAACGGACATACAATCAACACTCAGGAACATAGTCTTTACCCACAATTAACTGACATACAATCAACACTCAGGAACATACAATCTGAACCCACAATAAACGGACATACAATCAACACTCAGGAACATGCAGTCTTAACCCACAATAAATGGACATACCATCAACACTCAGAAACATACAATCTTAACCCACAATAAACGGACATACAATCAACACTCAGGAACATACAGTCCTAACCCACAATAAACGGACATACAATCAACACTCAGGAAAATACAGTCTTAACCCACAATAAACGGACATACAATCAACACTCAGGAACATAGTCTTTACCCACAATTAACGGACATACAATCAACACTCAGGAACATACAAATCTGAACCCACAATAAACGGACATACAATCAACACTCAGGAACATGCAGTCTTAACCCACAATTAACGGACATAAAATCAACACTTAGGAACATACAGTCTTAACCCACAATAAACGGACATACAATCAACACTCAGGAACATGCAGTTTTAACCCACAATAAACGGATATACAATCAATACTCAGGAACATACAGTCTTAACTCACAATAAACGGACATACAGTCAATACTCAGGAACATACAGTCTTAACCCACAATGAACGGACATACAATCAACACTCAGAAACACACAGTCTTAACCCACAGAGAACGGACATACAATCAACACTCAGGAACATACAGTCTTAACCCACAATAAACGGACATACAATCAACACTCAGGAACATACAGTCTTAACCCACAATAAACGGACATACAATCAACACTCAGGAACATACAGTCTTAACCCACAATAAACGGACATACAATCAATACTCAGTAACATACAGTCATAACCCACAATAAACGGACATACAATCAACACTCAGGAACATGCAGTTTTAACCCACAAGGAATGGACATACAATCAACACTCAGGAACATACAGTCTTAACCCACAATAAACGGACATACAATCAACACTCAGGAAAATACAGTATTAACCCACAAGGAACGACATACAATCAAACTGCTACTGGTACCATCGGAATTGGAATTCTGAGCTGGCTGCTAAAGATTATGGTGGAGTGCTAATGGGAATGTCCCGAGTGTTATGATATCGGTCCTTAACTGAGCTCAACTGAACTGTATTCGTACCCAAGTTTTAGTAAAGTGTTTCCACTAACGAGCTGAGAGCAATCTTATCTCCATATATACTGTTAATATACGGTTTAACAACTTAGTTATGTCATTTAAGCAGATCTTTTTTCGTGACATGGAGCAGTACACAGTACTTTTATATTTTTTATGGCATAATTTTTTTTTTACAGCTATTGTAATAGACACAGCTGCCGTGGCTAACGGCTAGACGTTCGCGTGCGGATTGGAAATTCGTGGGTTCGCTCCCTGGCGGAACGGGACTTTTTTCAAAAATGACTTTGACTCCCAGGTCGACCCAGCCATGAGTGGATACCGGGTGCAGTCATTGGAAGTAAAGGCGGTCGGTGTGATGCTGACCACATATAGCCCTATACGCCTAAAGGCGTGGAAAAGGGACCTTTACTTACTTACTGTAATATACACTCTGTTTTGCGTACCAGCACCCTGTAGATTACTTATGACAAGTGCAGCCACCTTTTTGGGAAAATAAAGCCATGCTTTTAAGTATACCAAACAGATACCTGGCGCTCTTATTCGGCCCTGTGTAGCCCAATTTCTCAGATTTAATAACTTTCTTAAACGGCTATTTGTGCTGATACATGACGTCTCTTTTATATCTACTAGCTTTTATTATTAAATAGTATCAAGGTATGTTTCACATTCGATTTTGTGTGTGTGTGTGTGGGGGGGGGTGAAGGTGGTGTGTGTATATATGTGTTGGGGAGGAGATGGGGGGGGGGGGGCCCTCTAATGCAATAACCTCTCAGAGCCTTTTTTTATATTTTAATAGCACACTTATTTACCTTCAAAATGACATATAATACGTTGAGGGAGCTAGTGAAGTTTGGATCCGAGCGCTTATGGACTTATCCAAAGAGTTTTAAAGATGATGATCAATTAACTAATTGAGATTTACGCAGCAGATCATACATTTCCTTAAATGGGGGTTAAATGTACATACTGTTCCTTCAGTGAAATGAGTATAGTTCAAAGAACTATTCGAACAACACATATAATTAAATTCATTGAAAAACAAAGACTGAAAATGTTTTGCCATTAAATGAGAGCAAATTCAATGATGCCAGCAACATGAGCGTACGATATAAAAGTGAAAACACAAAAACGTAGGGGACGACCATAACATGAACATAAACATCAATAACGTGTAGATATAAACTGGAGGTTATTCCAGAAAAAGTAAATAAATATTAGTGCTAACTCTTTAATTCTGAGAGGGTATTGCATTAGAGGACCCGGGGGAGGAAGAGGGGGGGGGGTGGAGGGTGACACTTGTACTTTATCAAATTTAGCACATGAAAATACTGCTGTGAAACATACACATATCATACATAACATAAATATAAATGATTGATGGTTATTATTACTATTAGTAGACGACTACAACATATAATTATACTGTTATTTAATGATTATTAAGCAAGAACAGTCAATATAAAATTGATATGGGCAAAAATGAATCACCCAGAGCAGTTTTTTTAACAGTACTTATAGCACTACTAAATATTTATTCTCAAGGTACAAACAGCACAAACACATTCGTCCAGTTTCATCTTGTTGGATGAAATCAGTCCTTTATTATTGTGAATTATTTGACAACTGTTTAAAAATACATTATACATAATTCTAAATACTGCATGCAACAATGTGGTAAGTATCATGAATGGTATATTATTTTAAAGGTAATTGAAGCACATTAAAACAGACCATGTAACTGCAAATATACATAGAAAATTAGATGAACAACCAGAAGTTTCTACCAGAGTTTACAGCCAGTGATCGCGAAGCAGAAGACGATTCACAAAAATGAACACAAAACATACAACTGCAAATATACATACGAAGTAGATGAACAATCAGAAGTTTTTGCCAGAGTTTACAGCCAGTGATCGCAAAGCAGAAGGTGGTTCACAAAAATGAACACAGACCATACAACTGCAATTATACATAAGAAGTAGAT